CACAAGAAATCTTCCGCAAAAGAATTTTTGCACAAAATCATGACAGTGTAGAAGTACCCAGTGAGTAACTTCCTCTTCTTCTTCAAGTGATGTCCCCATGGGAGTCCCTCTGTAGGTGAATGTGTAGCAGTACCCAGATCCCCATGGGAGCCCCTCTGTAGGTGAATGTGTAGCAGTACCCAGTCTAAGTGGTAGGTGGGCCTCGGATTTTATGGATTGACAGTGGTCAATAGGACCGTGGAAGCCACAATAGTATCTTTTGCTTGAGACAGCAAGATCGCCTAGTGTTTCATAAAAGTGCCATTGGTGGACCATGTAGCCATTCTGTGGATGTCCTTGAGGGTAACCCCATGAAGAAAAGCTGTGGACTTCACTACCACTCTTGTCGAATGTGATCTGGGTGGTTGAAATAGTAGTTTATTCCTTAAGTTATAGAATTACATAATGCAGGAGACTGAGTTTGGACAGGTATTGTGATAACACACATCCTTTCTTGCGTTCCACTGTAGAAATGAATAAGCAATCCGACTCGCGGAAAGATCTGGTCCGTTCTATACAGAATGCAAGAGCTCTGCGTACATCCAGTGAGTGATATATTGCCTTCTTTGTATTTGAGTGTGGCTTAAGGTAGATGAAGCGAGTACAATTGGTTGGTTTAAGTGAAAGTCAGAGCAAACCTTAGGCAGGATGTGGGAATAACACTATGTTGTCTCTATTAAAAATAGTGTATGTTGGAACAGCCATTAATGCTGCTAACTCACCACCTCTGCAAGCAGAAGTGATTGCCAGCAGAAAGAGCACCTTTAGCATTATCATAGGCAGTGTACAAGTAGAAGTTTGAAAGGTGCCCAGGTAAGAGTATTCAAAACCATTTCTAGGTTCCCTGATGGCAGTGGCAGCCTGCGTGGTGGGCATAGGTTGGAGAGGCCCTTCATAAATCTCCTTGAGATAGGATGAGCAAAGACTGACCACCCATCAATTGGATTGTGCAAAGCAGCGATCGCTGATAGATGCACCCTCAAAGAAGAGAGGGATAACCCAGCATCCTTGAGGGATAGTGTGTAGTCCAACACAGTATGCAGTGGTGCTGTGTTAGAGTCTAAATGCTTGTCAGAGCACCAAGAGAGGAATCTATGCCACTTGTGGAGATAAGTGGTTCAGGTAGATTGTTTCCTGCTGTGTAGAACTACTTGCTTTACTTGGTCAGAGCACTGTAGTTCTACATGGTGGATCTAATTATGAATCATGCTGTTAGGCGGAGATGTGGCTGCGGGTAAAGTAAGGATCCTCTGTTCTGAGTTAGAAGATCATGTAGAGTGGGAAGGTGGTAGGGAGGCCGAGAAGACATCAGATACACACAAGGAAACCATATCTGTTGTGCCCAAAACAGTGCTATGAGAATAACTGTCACTCTGTCTCTGGCAATTTTCTCTAACACCTTGGGAATGAGTGGGATGGGGGAAACGCGTATAAAAAGGGACCCTTCCAATTGAGAAGAAAGGCATCTCCCAGGGACCTCGGGAGCAGTAACGGCGACACTTGTTTATGTAGGAGGTAAATAAGTCGATCTCTGGTGTGTCCCATCGTTGGAAAATCGAACGGAGGACCCAAGGGTGTAGTTCCCATTCGTGTTCTGGAGCAAAGTGTCTGCTGAGCTTGTCTGCTATGATATTGTTCATTCCTGGCAAGTATGAAGCTACAAGGGTAATTTTGTTCTGTATGCCCCAGTTCCACAATCAGACCGGCTCTGCATAAAGCATGAGAACAGGCACCTCCATGGCGATTTATGTAATACATTGTTGGTATGTTGTCAGTCAGTATTCTGACATTTTTGCCTCGAATGTGCATAGCAAAATGCTTTCATGCATTGAACACAGCTCCGAGTTCCAATAAATTGATATGAAGCATAGTCTCTTGTGTGGTCCATCGTCCTTGTACTGACATGGCACTCCCGTGGGCTCCCCATCCGATTAGGAACGCATCGGTAGTTATCTGAATGGATGGCTAATCTCAATGAAATGGTATGTCAGCTAGAAGATTGCAGGGATTTGTCCACCATGTAAGAGTTTAAGACATGAAGAGGGGAGACCAGTTTGTGTACTTGTATGTTGTGATGGGCATATACTGACGTAAGCCAGTGGTGAAGATATAAAAAATGTAAATGGACATGATCGACCATGTAGGTTGTTGCGGCCATGTGACCCATCAGCTGGAGACAAGTACGGAAATTGTGGGACTGAGAGAAACAGTAGTAACCAGCTCCTGGACTATGTGAAATCTTTGCATAGGAAGATATGCTCTTGTGGATATGGAATCTAGCTTGGCACCTATGAATTCTAGCATTTGTGTAGGAGATGTGGCTGCGGGTAAAGTAAGGATCCCCTGTTCTGAGTTAGAAGATCATGTAGAGTGGGAAGGTGGTAGGGAGGCCGAGAAGACATCAGATACACACAAGGAAACCATATCTGTTGTGCCCAAAACAGTGCTATGAGAATAACTGTCACTCTGTCTCTGGCAATTTTCTCTAATACCTTGGGAATGAGTGGGATGGGGGAAACACGTATAAAAAGGGACTTCTGTGTATTGAGTATAAGACCTAAAAGGTTGAACGTTTGCATTGTTGTTGCCTCCATTCGATGTGTGTCCCTTTCTGATGGGCCTTTTAACAGACAATCGTCGAGATAAGGAAATATAATCACGGCTTGCCTGTGAAGGCAGGCCGCTACAATGGCTAACATCTTTGAAAACACTCTCGGTACCGATGAGAAGCCAAACAGAAGTACTCGGTATTGTCAATTGTCTGTTCCTATAATGAAATGTAGGAATGGTCTGTGCATGGATGAATAGTTATGTGAAAATAGGCATCTTGCAAGTCAAGGGCTGCAAACCAGTCTTCCTTCTCTATCGTTGGGATTACTGAAGTGAGGATAACCATTTTGAATCGTTGCTTTCGAAAGTACCAATTTAACTTGCGGAGATCCAAAATGGGCCACCATCTGCCCGTCTTTTTGGGGGTGAGAAAGTAAATGGAATGGAATCCCTTGCCTCTGAAGTCCTCTGGTACTACTTCCACTGCTACTAGTCTAAGCAGATATTGTACCTCCTATGTTAGCAAGTCTTCATGAGAGGGGTCCCTGAAGAGGGACGGGGAGGGTGGGAAAGTTGGGGGTAGGGAAGTAAAGGGGATGGTGTACCCTGATTTTACTATCTCAAGGACCCAGTGATCCGATGCGATGGCTGCCCAGCAATGACAAAAAGGTCTCAGACAGTGATGGAAGACCAAAGCAGCGTGTGATGTTTCATGTGAAATGGGGAGGTTTTGCAGATCCTCGACCAACAGGTCAAACCTGCTGCTTACTCTCCTGGTTGCTGGTATTGCTAGCGCCCTGTGGGCGCTTCCTTTGTGGTCGTTGTCTGCTCTTTGATTGTACAAATGATTATTCTTGGTATCTAGAGTAGGAGAACTCCTGCTGGTTTTGATATGGAATGTATCGTTTACAACGGAACGGAGAAGTATACATCCCAAGTGTGTGCAAATTTGTTCTAGAGTCTTTGCTGGAATGCAGCACGTCATCCATCTTTTCAGCAAATAACTTTTGCTTGTTAAAGGGGAGATCTTCCACCTTTGATTGAAGCTCATGAGGGACCCTTGCAGATTGTAACCAGGAGGCTCTCCTCGTAAGAACTGATGTCTCAGTAGCTCTGGCTGCCGTGTCAGCTATACCCAGTGCTATTTGAAGTGATGTTCTGGTAGGTATTCTAGGAGGGAGGTCAACTTTGTGTAGTTGTCAAAGTTGTGGTTGAAGAGTAGTGCTGAGTAATCTGCGATCCGCAAGAGTAGGGTGACTAAAGAATAAAGATTTTTCCCAAAGAGGTCCATGTGTTTATTATCTTTATCTCTGGTATTCTTATATTGTGGTAATTTGACTCTGTGTTGGGCAGTGTCAATAACTAACAAGTTTGGTTGAAGGCGGGAGAATAAGAAATTGGCTCCCTTTGGAGGGATAAAATATAATTTGTCCACTTTTGTTGATTGTGGTTGTCGAAGCTGGGGTCTGCCATATCTCATTGGCAGCCTCCATGATGTCATCACCCATGGGGATCGCCACCTTTCCCCACCTGTGATGGCTGAAGGTTTTTAAGGAGCCTATCTTGTTTTTCAGACACCTCCGTTAATGTGATGTCCTGAGATGCAGCCACCCTTTTGAAAAGTTCCTGGAATTGCTTCAAGTCATCAGGAGGGGACTGGTCACCAGGTATGACTGCTTCGTTGGGGGATGACGACGACTGATCGGTGGGTGATACATCTGGTGGGTGTTCTTCAGCCTCAAAGAGATGACCTTCCTTCGGCTCTGAATGATGGTCCATAGAGGGAAGATTAGGTGATGACCTCGCCA